CCATATAAGGAAATGAAGCCGGCCATGTAAACTATATAAGAAAGTGAAGCTAATTGTATAAGGCAGTGAAGCTGACCATATAAGGAAGTAAGCTGACCATATAAACCATATAAGGAAGTGAAGCTAATTATATAAGGCAGTGAAGCTGACCATATAAGGAAGTGAAGCTAATCATATAAGGCGTGTGAAGCTGACCATGTAAGGAAGTAAGCTGACCATATAAGAAAGTGAACCTGACCATATAAGGAAGTGAAGCCGACCATATAAGGAAGTGAAGCCGACCATATAAACCATATAAGGAAATGAAGCTGGCCATGTAAACCATATAAGGAAGTGAAGCTAATCATATAAGGCAGTGAAGCTGACCATGTAAGAAAGTAAGCTGACCATATAAGGAAGTGAACCTGACCATATAAATCATATCAGGAAGTGAAGCTGACCATATAAGGAAATGAAGCTAATCATATAAGGCAGTGAAGCTGACCATATAAACCATATAAGGAAGTTAAGATGACCATAGAAGGAAGTTGAAGCTGACCATGAAGGAAGTGAAGCTGACCATATAAACCATATAAGGTAGTGAAGATGACCATATAAGGAAGTGAAGCTACCCCGGTAATCATATAAGGAAGTGAAGTTGACCATATAAAGAAGTGAATCTGACCATCATGTAGATATACAAGGAAGTAAGCTGACCATATAAGGAAATAAGCTGACCATATAAGGAATAAGCCGACCATATAAGGAAGTAAGCCGACCATATAAGGAAGTAAGCTGACCATATAAGGAAGTAAGCTGACCATATAAGGAAGTAAGCCGACCATATAAGGAAGTAAGCCGACCATATAAGGAACAAGGTTAACTGCTGCGTGCATGTACTTACGTCCACATCAGAGAGTCTGACCAACCATCATGGCTGTGAAGTTTCCGCTTAGTTGTATCATCAAATCCTGACAGGAAAACTTCAGGAGCAGTGTCAAAATGGAAAATATGAACTTCATCAACTCTGAAAGCAGAGAATACATTCTACATTACAACACTATTTGACTGACATGAAGAGTTTCTTTTCATATCGTGAGGTGAGAAGTCAGATGTGGGAATCAGAGAAATTAATGTAGAGAAAACATACAGACTATCATCACATGACTATGATGAAATCATTTGCAGCTAGGACATTTGAGTGAAACATCAATGTGATACTACAAGAGAACACCACCATGGCTGGTAATAATGTTGTGGAATAGGAATGTTATTTTCATGCTGCTAGACTTCATACAAGTAGAATGAGAGGGTCAGGCAACTACAGTATAATTTAAACTGTTTTAACCTGGGTTACAAGTCCTTTAAAACTTTCAATCAAGTTACTGTAAACACATTAATTATTCACCACTTTTCAATTTAGCTATTTTGCTAAAAAGTACCGGTAAAATCCTCTTACTGGGGGTAAATTCACTGAATATGCTCAAAAAGGTCACTGTCGATGAAACAAAATGTGAAGTTTAAGTTTTCATTTTGTAATCTGGAGAACTGCTAACTACTTTTCAAAAACAACTTAAACCACTTAAAACACCAAAGTTCTTAAAAATGACATATAACATACAAGTAACAGTTTCTCAGAGTGTTTGGAAAATACCCAAAACAAATCAGGTCAGTTGCTTGGAAGATTTTCACACATTTTCCTGTTCGAGAATTTCAGAATTACAACTTTAAAATGTTGATTTGCCACAGTAAATCATGCCAGCCTTCTTGAAAATTGTATAATTCAAACAGAAAATGTTTTATGTTGTCAAAAACGGGAGAAAATATAACATCCAATAGCAAATATGAACAAGCATTTGTGCAATGTGGCCCAGTTGAATACACGCATAAACCTGTTGAAGAGTAAACTTATATTGACGAAAAAACAAATGTGAATGATTCTAGGTGACCCTTACCGTGCAGCTAAAGACTTGGTAAAACTCTTCAGTAACGTTCTACCAAAATGTCTTATGCTATCTAAAAATCAAATACAAGAGACATATTAATGTTAGCATCACTCATTTCATTGACAGTATGGGCAAAGAAAACAAAGTTTCTGTTTACAATACAATGTCACCATAAATCAGGGCTTGATTTATCTGGTTAAGAGGGCACCTATTTTTAAGACCAAACTTGTATGATTATGTAAATACAGAGAAACCTGTCAGTGTAAATTTTCAAAGGGCACCAAGGCAAACTGGTTGCATCCAATTGCTTTTGTTATCTCCATGAAGTTAAAACATTTATTATCAATATACATGTATCAGAGTGTTGCTCAGGATCATATGATGCTTTTCATTATGGACCGTCCAACCATGAAGGGACTGTAGTTTAACTTGGTCAAGTCAAAATTATTCTTTACTTTAATAGGCTAAATAAAAAAATTATTTTATACAATTGAGCCCAAATATTTATTCATATGCTAATTAGCTAGTCATTCCCAGTGATTTTACTGACAGTGCAACAAAGGCATTCCTTTCATCTTTATAAATATTTATAAATTTCAATGGCAGTTTAAACCAACCAGCAAATCACAGCACAAAACACAATGTCACTTGAAAACATTCCAATGTTACCCAATTGGCCAAAGGAAACCCTTTTGTTCTAGTTTGAATTGTGATATTTAAAATTTTTATTAAGATTAAGGCAATACTTTTGGTGCACTCAGAGTACCATGCTGAGAAAACAATAAAAGTTACTATTGTATTGTTTCAAAATAATCTAATTGTTATGTAAATGAGCAATTTCTCCTACAACACAGTGTTATTAACTACATTTGTACTCTGACTACTGTAGTATCATGGAATTTTGTCATTAAAAAATAAAATCATCAAATCACAAAATTTCCCAGCAGCAAGGCCATATGCATGACCTCCAAAAGGTCACACATCCTGGTACTTTCTGGGGGTACATATTCACTATCAATTCAAATTTAATTATTAGTCTCTCACAAATATGCAATCAGTTATCATTGAAATTCAAAAACAGTTAAACATCGTAAAAATTGATGTATAATATTATTGGGAATTCTTGCTGCCATGGAACAATACTCCCTGAAAGTACGCGGCAACGTTTGACTAATTCAACAAATATGAGGACGCCAGGGAAGATGTTGAGAGACTCTGAGTCACCTACAAAAAGAAACTGATTTATTGCATGTGCCATTACAATTGAAGTAAAACGAAAGGATATGTTATTATTTGGGAAAAACACAGGAGTTTGTATTCGAAACAAAGAACGCGATACCAGTGAATGTTCTTTGTTGAACGCAATTGTTTTCCCCGCCACCGAGCTTTACGTGTACACAACAAACCAATGTGTACATTGAGAAGTTTGTAGTCACATGGCTACATGTTTTGTTTCACGCAACGGGTTCGAAAAGATTCAATTC